ATTTTAAGTTTAAAAGTTTTTTCTATATTTCGTAAATTAATAATAAATATTACTACTTCCATTACTTCTCTACTATTTTCTTTCTTAATCCAATTTAAAATAATTATAAAAATAATAATTAAATAGTAAATAATTTCTTTAATCGCTATAGCGTAAAGGGAAGACCCTTCGAACGTATTTTTCAATATAAAATTTAATATCCGGCTACTTTATATTAGAGTTTATATTTATATAAGATTAAATAGGCTTTTATCTTAATTAATTATAATTTTCCTAATATTATAAGGAATTCTAGTTTAAGGATTATATAAATATAAATAATTAATTTATAGTTATAAATATTTAATTTAAAATAAACGATACTTTTAATTTCTATACCTTCTATTTTAATAGAAGCGCCTTTAATTTATCTCCGGGGAATTGGGATTATTAAAATCTTTAATTTCTTAATTATTCTTTTATTAATTATAATATAGGACTAATAACCTTTATTATCGAGGGTATAGAATTAATTTTTATTATTAATAGTAATAGGGATTTTAGTAACATTTATTTCTATAGGACTTAGGAAGTTCGAAGCTCTTACTTCTTTATTTAATATTCCTATCTACTCTTATACCCAACTTTATATAAGAACTATTCTTTTTCTAACCCCTTCGAAGAAGAATCTTTAATATCTTTTAATAATAGGTCAATTTAAAATTTAATAACTCTAATACTAATTCTATTAGAACGTTAAACTAATTTATATTTATAATTATTAATTATATACCTATAAATTCTATAATATAAATAAAGTTTAATTAAACGCCGCTTATTACATTCCTCTTATAAAATTTATTTAATATACTTAGTATTCTTATTATAATTTTACTCTTAATTTTAATAATATTTATTATTATAAATATATTACTATTAGTATTTTTAAAAGGTAGGTCTATAGTTTATTCTTATTTAAGGAAAGACTTTTAATAGTATTTAGCGGCCCCCCTATTACTTTTATTAAATTTACAGAAGGTTCGGTTCGCTTTAAACCTTTAAGTAATATCTTTTAAGTCTTCTATATATTAATTATAAATTTTAAGTATATAAATTGAAATTAATTAACTATATATAGCATTAGATATAGAAGTATATAATTAGGCGAATTGGAATTCGTCCTCCTATATTAAACCTTCTATTTTCATAAGGTTCTCCTTAAAAACCGGAAAGAAATTAATAAAACTTTAATTCTTAGGTTAGTAAATAATTCGTAAGCGAATTAATATAAATTACTTCTCATTTTTATTACCGAAAATTAATTCTAAATAATTAAAATAATTAATAGGATAGTAAGAATTATTAGTATAACTATAGTATTAAAAAGCCTCTACTTTAATTATTTTATTGCTAGGGAGTATATTAAATAATATTAATTATTCTAATTTATTATTAAAGATTATTCTAATTACTCTCTTTTCTTTATATATAAAGTATAGTTATATTAGGAATAGGGAGAAGGTCGAAGTAGATCTGTCCTATTTCAATTATTGGATATTCTTACGTTTAGTATTAGGAGTAGCAATAAGGGCGGTTTCTTAAGTAGTACTAATTGCGATATTAGGGGTAATAGTAATTATATAAATAATTATTTAAATTAGCATTTAGGGGTTACTCTATACTCTTTAGGTTGTAAGCGAAATATTAATGGTAGTTTTAATAGCGTTAGCGAATACTATACTTATAAAAATACTTTTAATAAAATTATTTTTCTTTTTTTTATTTATTAGGCTTTAGCCTATTGTACTTCTTTTTTTGCGTTCGATATAGCGTACTACTATCCTTACTATTATAGTAGCAATATATTTTAATTTATTAGTTCTATTAGAATAATAAAACCTAATATAACGGAAATAGTATAATTTATATAGGTATTAATTGTATAGTTTAATTAAGGTTTTATAAAGGAAGAAAAATCTATTTAAAATACGGATCTACTAGCGTAAAGGTTTTTATCGGGGCTGCGCGCTTTATGCTATTATAATTAATAATAGTTCTAGTTTTAGAGATTAGAGTCTATAACCCGGGCGCTAGCCCTATAATAAATTAGTAAAACTCTAATACTTTTAATACTAGAGTAGAACTAATTAGTATTCTAGTAATATTTAAAATAAAAGATTTAATATATATTTTAATTATAAATTATAATAATAAAATTTATAGATTATATATTTATTCTAATAAAGTTATTACTATTTTTCTTTAATTAATTATCTTATCTTTTTTAATAATTTAAAACCCAAATTCTATAATTAAATTAATAAGAATTCGTATAAGGTAAAGATACTATTTTCTTATTTATTTATTATTATATAATATATACACAGTTTAAATAGTTCCTAAATATTAATTTTTAAAAATTAGTATTTTTAATATACTAAAGTTTAATATTAGTCTAGTATTAATATTAAAGTTTAGTATTTTAGTACTACTAATTAATATTATACTAATTCCTAACTCTGCCTACAAATCGTTAAATCCTTATACTTTAAATATATTCCAATTCGGTAGAATGCCTATTTAATATTCATTTTATCGAATAAATTTATTTATTTAATATATATTCTTATTTTATTTATTAAGAAATAGTAAAGGTTATTTATATTTCTCTAATTGAATATTGAATTTCTAGTAATTTATATAGAATCTGAATTAATATATCCTATAAATTAAAAATTCACGTTAATAAACCCCTTCTAAAGGATTTTAAAAATTAATTACTAATATTCCTCTACTTTTTCGAATATTATTTTTTTATAATAAATTATATCCTATATCGTTTAAACCTTAATCCTATTCGAATAGGATTTAATAGTTTATTATATTTTTATATTATAGTCCAATATTGAAATCGAATTGATTAAATATATGAATGAAATATAGTTCCCCTGGGCAGGGTTAAAGTTTAGGGAGACCGAGAGGCGCTTTATAAAAAAAAAAAAAAAAAGACTAAAGGTTGAACTAAATAGGTAACCCTTTAAAAAGGTTAATATTAATGATAATTATAGAGTTATAAATTTAAATAGTTAATTGAATAGGTAATTGAATTCTCTCCCCTATATTACTAACTTTAAAGAAAAAAAATTTAGAAGATCCCCTTAAAGGTAATCTTCTAGAGATTTTTAACTGTTAAGAATTTGGAAGGTAAGGTACTTAGAGGATAACCTATTTTTTTTCTTATTTATAGGGTATTTAATATTGGATGTTAAATAAATATTGGAAATTTTAGTCTAATTTAATATAATTTTTATATTTGTTTTTCGACTTAATATTTAATATCGAAGGACGTAGATTCTTAATATAGTAAGGAGTTATAATAAGGAATTTATTCGGAATAGAACCTTATAGTGGCGGAAGTAGGTAAAGAAGTTGCTTAGCAATTTAAAATACGAATTTCTCCTAATTATTATAATAACTTTATTACTAGATTATAAAATATTTAAGTACTATATAAATACCTTATATTTTATAAGTATTTCCCTCCCCAAAATCTGATATAATTATAAAAAGAAAAGGTCGGGGTTACCTTTATATAGGTCGAAAATCAATTCCTAATTAGAGAATACTATTATAGCGGGAATATAAAGAGGGTTTCTAATTTAGAAGGGGGTATTTAGCCTAGAATAGAAAATTAAACTTATTTAGTAAATTAGGCTAAATGAAAGGTTTAGCTTAAATAAAAAATAAGAATTTTTAATTAATTAAAATAGGTTTATAGGGGGTAAAAATTAAAAATAACTATAATAACCGCTATTCTTACTAGATTATAGTAGGAGGGTAATTTCCCTTACTAAAGGTAATTATTTAGGTATTTATAGGTTAAGGACTTCGATTTCGAAATTTAAATAAAGGTATTCCTAAAGAGAATATGAAATTTTTCGTACGATTAAAAAAAGGTAATTACTAATAGGATTGAATTAATAGTTATAAGAAAGTAAATATAAGAATTATTAAACTACTAGCTTAATTAAATAATAAAAGAGTTCGCTGTATTAGTTTCTATAGGTATTTGGAACCCTAAGAAAGAGTAACCGCTATTAGGAAGAAAAAAAAAAAAAAAAAAAAAAAAAAAAAAAAAAAAAACCTTTGAAGGTTTCGGAAGGAACTATTACCCCCAACTAATTAGGATCTCTATTCAATAAGCCTAAATTGAGTATCTAATTTAAATAATGTTAATTAGCCTAAATAACCGCCCGGTTTTCCCGCTATAATAGGTATATCCAACTTTAATTCTAACCTTTAATAAACTCTATTCCTCCTCCGTTTAATTTATAACCTTCGTAGATTAATTTAACTAGGGCTATTCGAAAAAGTTCTTAATAGCGGTCGGGTATATATAATAAATAGAGATATTATTAGGAATATAATAATTTATTCGTACTTTAATAATCGGATTCCTTACCTATTTTAATTAGAATTATATAGTTCGTTAATAACTATTAATTTCTAGGAATTAAATTTAAGGCTTATATTTACAATTATTACGGTTATTAAATATATATTTAATTATAATTCGTTTTTAATATTCTAAATTTATATATTTCTAATTGGAATTATTCTTATTCTAATCGTTTCCCTCCTAATAGGTTTCCTCCTCCTCGTTTATATTACTATTATCTTTAACCGTAAAGTTATAACGGTTAGTATTTTGTTATAGAATTGTTATTTTAAGTAAAGGGGGCGTATAATTTATCGAAGCCGCCGCGACCTTCCTCCTCGATATTACCGGTATCCTCTTCCTTATAATAGGTTTCCCCCTCCTACTTCCTCTTTTAACCCTACTTAAATAGAATATATAAAGGGGTATATTTAGGCTTAAATAATACTATCCCTATTATAATTTTACCCCCGGATAGTAATATTATATAAGGGGGCGTAGGGTTGAATACTTTAAGAGGATTGTAATTTTAGAGAAACCTAATAAATTTATTTAAATAATTTAAATAATTTCTATTAATAGCTTAACGAACGGTTCTTATAGGTTTAGGAATAGGCTTATTACTAGCGGTAATTTTAATTATATTTAAGGAGGCGTTTATAATTTTAATTAAATTATTAAGAAAGGTCGTTGTATTCTATTAATTCCTAATTGCGGGGATTTTAGCTATTTAGTTACGAAAGTTTGCGAGGATTCGGTCGGTAATAGCCCTAACCCTAACTATAATTGTAGGGATTCTAATTATTTTATTGCGAAAATTTATAAAGATTCGGTCGGTAATAGCCTTAATTTTAATTATTTCCTTATTAAAGGTTTAGGGTATTTCGGAAGTTCTAATTATTGTACTTTATTGCTAGGGGCAGGGAAGTTAGTTACTAAATATTTTAAAGTAATAGGAATTATTAGAAGGGGATAGTATTATTAATATTTTTCTTTATATAAGGAAAAGTAAATTGAAGGTTAGTATTATATTCGGTTAAAATTTTAATTATAGGGGACGGTAAATTATAGGTTTAAAACTGGTTTAAATTTTTCTAAATATTAAATAGGTAGGAGAAATTGTATTAATATTAAATAAATTAATAAATAGAAGTACTAGGTAAATACGAGCGATTAAATTATAGATTTTAGGTTCCTTTTTAAAATTTAATATTTAAATTTTAATTTAGCGAAGGTAAGTAAATTAATTAAAAATCTTATAAATTTAGTATACGAATTAGCACTATATAGAAAGGAGATTGTTAATTTTAGATTTATAGTAACTATTTTATAAAGGACGTTTTAATAGTTTTCCCCGCTATTTTCTATTATTTCGCTATCCTTCTCCTCTTTATTTATATCTTCGCACTCCTAGTTTTAATTTTATTTAAACGGAGTATAGGGAGGAAGGTACATTAGTAAAACTACTTCCAGAAATATTTTAATAGTGATTTTGCCCTTTATTGGATGGGTCGTATATAGTGGTGGCGTATTATTATAATAATATTAAAACGAAACGCGGTTTTTTAAAATTTGATTTATAATATAATAGTAGATTATTTTAATTAAAGTATTATTAGCGCCGGTAAGAGTATTATAAAAATCTAATTTGCGAGGGTGTAAATTTAATTACCTTCTAGGTTATTTATATCGAATATTGTAAAGAGGTACCTCTATTAGTAGGGAGTACTGCCTATTTAGTTATTTCGTTTTTAGCAGTAATTTCTCCGAGGATTAGGGATTTAATTACCGTATTTTAATATTAGAGGTCGGGTGAGTAGATATTACGTAGGTAGCTAGGTATTGTAGGGGGTATTTAATATATATATGAAAAGTATATTAGTAGGTGTCCGAATAGATATATTCGGTGTGTTTATACTATAGCGGGAAAATTACTAATGTATTAAGCTTTGTTGGGGGGTTTAATATTTGTAATTTAACTATTTTTATTATAAGATTTAGTACTATTAATTGAGGGAGACCTTTAATTAGTTAGTTGAAAGTACGTTATAAATAATTATTGAAATATTCTAATATTTAGTATTTCTTTAAATATTTTTTTTTTTTTTTTTTTTTTTTTTTTTTATCTCTTTATATATTAAAGCGGAAAACCCGGGCTTTAAATAAATATTAGCTAGTAAACAATACGTATAAAGAAAATAAGAATTATTTTTTAAATATTAATTGTTTATTAAATATTAATTGTTTTATAAGCCCCTAGAAGTTAAAAGTATAGGGTATAACCTTCTATATTCTAGTAGTCTTTAATAGTAGCCTAGACTTTTTATAGGGAATTAATACTAAGGTGAAAGCTAGTATTTAAATTTGGAAGGACTTCCGGCTTCCGGAATAGACGTAACTTTATAAAAAATTAGTTACGAACGGGAATTGAATAAAGGTTATAAGTAAAAATAAAAATAAAGAATTACTTTATTAACTACTTAACTACTAAGCTAATTTATTATTTCTAAAAAAAAGGCTAGTTCTTTCTGTTTATAAAGGTCTTGGGGCGCCGGGGGGGGGGGGGGGGGGGGGGGGGGGGGGGTGGGGGTGGAGGAAGGAAGGTAGGATTTTGAGATTTTAAGAAATTTCGAAATTCGGACCCGATTTGAAATTACTATATTATAGTGCTTACCCCCTATAAAAAATATATATTGTTTTTTAAATATTAATTATAGTTATTATCCAATAACTATAATATATATTTAGAAATAGATTTTTCTACTACGGTAGCGAGAAGAATTAAAACGAATATCCAATTAATTAGGCTAGTAGCTTAATAATTCTCATCGATACATTTCTTTCTTAAAATCGCTAATTCAATTCCAAATAGTAGCTTTTTTTCCATTATACGAAGAATCTCGTACGGAAGTGAAAGTATAAATACCCTTATCCGGAACCCCCCCCCCCCCTTCCCCGAGGCCCAATTATAGAAAAAAAAAAAAAAAAAAAAAAATAAGACAAAAACTCTAAAACCCTTATAATACCCCTTTCAGAAGGTCATTATAAGGGTCTTTAGCTTTTACTATTTTACACCCAAATCCGACCAATCAAAAGCCTCCCTTAATTAATAGTACTAAATCTTACAATAAGGCTAGGCTAATTATTTATTCTAAAATTTAGAATTACCTTTATAACCCCCTCTTAAACTTTAACATTCTTTTTATATTTCTACTATAGTATATTAGGTATAATATATATAAATTTACGTACAATTATTATAAGAAAAGAGAAAATTGTAATTAACCTTATCGTATAGACGATTTTATAAACATTCTTATTATTCAAAATTCTAATTTATTTTCCTTATTTACTAGGTATAAATATTAAATAAATTATTAAATAACTTTACTACTTATATTTATAGTAATTTCTTTAAGGGCTAACGTTATTAGGGGTTTACAATTGTAATTTCTATAGTAATAGCTCTACACCTCTAATAAAAACCTTAAAAATAAATATTAAATATTAGTAAAAAGATATTATTAAATATCTTATAATAGAAGACTTACCTAAAGCAAATATAATTTAAATTTTAGAAATATTTAAGTAATCTCCTATTCCTCTAAAAGTAAATAGGTTTCTAACGATTGTATTAAAGTAAATATTAAAGTAAAAAAAAGAATTATTCCAATTATAAATCGTTAATTAAACGGGCTTAATATTTAGTTACAATTATATATAAATAGGATAGAAGAGAAGCAAGGAGCGAATTATTATAAGTAATAAGAGAAAATTATAGTTACTTTTAATTAAATATATTTATATTGAATTTTAATTTTATTTACTAAGTAATAAGCCCTTTTCTTAACTTTATAATTCATTTTTATCCTTACTCCCTCCTATTTTAAAATCCTCCGGAAATACCTTTATCTACTCCAACGGCGAAATATTAATAATAATTTCCCTAACGCTAGGAAACTTCGTATAAAGAGGCAGTATATCTACTTTTATAAAATTCCTATACCGATACGGTTTTATAGGATTGGGAAGGTTAGGTATATTAGAACGAACTAGGGAAGAAGACGAAATTAGTATACTATAGCCTTTAAGCGAAGAAGGACGATATTAAATATACTACAATAAGGACGGTAAATTAGGTTATTAAATAAATTTTTAAGAATATTATTTATTTAATTAATATAAATATTGAAATCAATACCCTATTTATATTAATTAATAGTTATCTCGTTAATAACTACATTTTATTAGCGAAGTGGAGGAGGTAGATTAATAGTAACTTGCCTTATATAGCGAGTATTCGTTCTTTCCGTAGGTATTAGATCTTTATTTTAGTAGAAGAGTCTATAAATATATATACTTATTAGTAAAGAAGTATAATCTCTTTACAATTTCTAATGTAGAAGTATAAATATAATAATTAAAGTACTTATATAAGAAGAATAAAAGGCGTTATTAATCCTAAAAGGTTAAAAGTTTTATAAAAGTTAATGAGGAATTACAATCTAAGATTTAATTTCACCTTCTAGGTTACTATATTTAGAGATTAAATAAAAAGTGTAATAAAATAATTAACCTATTTATATATATTTAAACAGTATATATATTATTCTTTTAAAAAGTAAAAAAATAATAATAAATTTATTAGATATATTTAACTTTATAAGTTAAAGCTAATAGGAATTGCGTATTTAACTCTTCTAATAATATACGTATACCTTAATAGAGCTTAGCGCACGTATACTATAAAACCTCGTACAATTAGCCTACCTATACACCTCTTCCCTTTTATTTTTAATTTTAATATTATATTAAATTATATTATAACTTCCTTAAATTAACTTACTCTTATAATTATATACGCCCTTATACTTATTATACCGTACCCAGTCTAGGTATTTAGACTACTATACCCGGGCTACCCCGTAGCCTATACTTTAACTTTCTCCTAACATATCCTTTCTATATAGACGGCTAGCTAGAAGCCTTCCTCCTTCCTACAATATCTTCCTTTACTTTATTTTATTTACTATTATAAATAATAATCACCCCCTATATTAGAAATATACTAAAAGATGAACTCTTCTTAGTATTATAAACGGTTTTTTAGAATAGTAAAAAAAATTAAAAAAGAAATTATAAAGAAAAATAAAATATTAATTAGTACTAATTAATAAGAGTACTAGGATTAGTATTAAGAATACGAGAATTAATACTAAAGATCCTAAATTAGTACTAAGATTACTTAATACTACTATAATCTCCCTATATAAGTATAAATATTTTATTAATTTATATATTACTAATAAATTTATTATAGTACATTTTATAATAATAGGATAAAGATACTTCTTTTTAAGTATTTCATATTTAATTATTATTACAGGGATAAATAATATAGTTAGTCACATAGTAAGGACTATTACTTCCAAATACTATAATAACTAGAAGTAATTCGTAGTATAGAAAGTAAAAGAGAAGACGTTTTAAGAAGGAGGGAAGGCTTCCAGCTAGCTATTTACATAGAAAGGATATGCTATAAGAGAGCCAAAGTACGAACTACTTAGTAGCCCGGGCACAGCAATTTAGGAGCCCAGCAAACTGGGCATAGTAAGGAAGCCTCTATAGGCTATAGCAGCCCGGCTAATTTAAACTATTACAATTAATAAAGGCTATAATACGAGAAAGATACTTCTTAAATATTTTATAGGTAATTATTTAGTAAAGAAAATATATAGATTTAGCGCTATTATTAAAGGGTTAACTCTCGGTAGTATATTTAATATTATTTAATTAATATTAAAATCTTTTATAGTAATTAAAAGTATTAATATTATAACTATCGGTATTTACTTATATAAAATACTT